GTATTTGGATATATTTTGAACCATTTGATGTTCCGAATCTCTCATTAATATCCTCCCAAATGTCTTTAGTAGTGTCAAACCTCATGACACTGTTTGGTATGTCTTTAGATAATGAATTTGTTATCCATATAATTACCATGTCGTTGCATTTTTCCCAGAAGGAGTATTAAGGGGAGTTAATTTGAGGTTTAGTAATATTTCCAGTTATGAGCCCTAGTTTGTTCTTAGCAGACAGAGTAGTAAACATATTTTTACGCCAAATAACAAAACCATTCCCATCGAAAGGTGGAGACACTAAGTGTCACCAGGACTATCATATGGATGTACATAGAATGAGTGAGATGGATGTACAGTGAAGTCATCAAATCCATCTAACACAGAAGAAGAGCTAACATCTGGATTTCCCATGATTTAACCCTAGATTTGTAAAGTTCAACTGATAGAAGAAAAATACTCGATTTTTACCAATATGCAGTAGGATTAAGGAGAATATTATCGTCCTTCTTTGCAACCTAAGAAGGTATGGCCTTGAAATAGAGTTAAATGCTGAAATCGGCGAGAGTGAAGAAGTATCGGAGAACGAAAATCACCAAAAAACATAGTGAAAAACTCAAAATAGCTGCAATGCACAGCCAGAAAATGATGTATCCCAAATCTTCACTTCAAAAGACGAAGACAGATGAAGATCGACGGAAATGAAAAACTCCATGAAAATCGATGAGGGTACCATCGATCGAAAGAGGAGATCAAGGATGATCGATTCCTTGCTCTGATACCATGTTAATGTAGGAAATCGAGTTGTGAAAAATGATTTTACAGAAAAGACACCCTAGAAGATAGAAAGAGAAGAGAGGGTTTTATTTCATTGATAATATTTAGAAGATACAAAATGAATGTCTATGTTTCTTGATGGTTCTACCACTATATATACATGAATTAATAATAAAGAATATATGGATTAAAATATAATAAAAGAAAGTTGTAATATGGCTAAGTGGGCTACCGGGCATCAACTGTTATTGGGCCTGAAGTTGGGCTCCCGTTAATAAATCCAACTTCCAACTACTTCCTCCGTTCACTTTTACTTGGCATGTATACTAAAAATAGTTTTTCATTTTTACTTGTCACTTTACGTATATCAAGAGAAGACAATTTTTTTCCTTTTATACCCACAATATTTATTACTCATTTTCTCAAATCCAATAAAATATACATCAATTAATATGGGTATCATGATAAATTATGCACTTCATTTATTATTTCTTAAGGGGCGTAAAAAGTCAAAATGTACCAAGTAAAAGTGAACGGAGGGAGTAACTAAATATTAAATGTTCAGTAAAAGCAAATCAATATCAAAATAGGATCGATAGGGGGCAGAACTCAAATAAAAAATGGAAAAGGCCTAAATATACCACTCAACTTACACAAATAGCCTATCGATGTCACCCGTTAAAAACTTGATATTTTTATGCTACTACCGTTACACATTTGGCCCATCTATGCCATTATTTGACTAACGACTAAAATATTTTTTTTAAAATATGTATAAGACCCATATTTTCACATGTCCTGTCATTATTAGTCCGAGTTAACCCATGCCCTGCATAATTTTAACCTTGGTTAGGTCTATCTACCCAAACCTATCACGCCCCTAAACCCGGACCATGTCGTGATGGTGCCTTTCGTGTATACAAGGCCAACCAATTAAACCCAATTCCATTTTTAAATTGTTAAACAATAAGAAACAATATAAACCATAATCAATTAAACTAAGGTTTAAGCAGTTAATAACATAGTTTGCGGAAAATAACCCAATATAACCCTAAATTGGGGTGTCACTAGTCATGAGCAACTATGAGTCATAATAAAAGTCTACCAAGTCTATAAGCTAGTAAAAATGTCTTAAAAGATATAGAAATGATAAAGGAGGAGAAATACGGGACTACAGATGTCAAGCAACTACCTCGTGGGCTCCGATATCTGCCGGGAGCTCTCAACTCGCACTAGCAGGATCCGCAACGCCTGAATCTGCACATAGGGGTGGGATGCAGGGAGTAAAGTGAGTACTCCAATTCAGTGAGTAACAAATGTAAATAAATATTGAAATCTAGAAATCACGTAAGGCACAAAACATTCTACAATAAAGCGGTAAAACTATTTAAAAATAGTAAATCAGTGAAAGATAGGTAAAATTCTTTAACTCAAATGTAGTTTCATGAAAAGGCTTTTTTAATGATTAAGCAGGTAATTGACAGTCAATTATGAAAAGTAAACACATAAAGGCTCGCCCCTCGGGCATAATATAAACAAATACGCCCCTCGGGCAACATCTCAGAATAGTACCAACCCCTCGGACAATCACATAGAATAATACCAGCCCCTCGAGCTCAATCTCATATCACAATAGGTACCCGCGCTCACTGGGGGTGTACAAACTCCTCGTGGCATCATCAAGCCACCTCGTGGCATCATCATTAGGCCCTCGGCCTCATATCAATCAAGACACCTCGTGGCGTACATATCGCAGGCCCTCAGCCTCATAATCAATATCAAATGTTTCCTCACAACATAGGCCCTCGGCGTCACTTAGTCAAAAATCCTCACAAGCCACTCGGGCAATAGTAAAGCAGTGTTTCTCAGCCCAAACATTATTTAAAAATATCATTAGTATTAAAACTGAGTGAACATGGCTGAGTACAAAAAAATGGAAAATAACATGACTGAGTTCCAGTATAAAGTCAAAACAGTGAGGAAATACCAGTAAAAATCCTCGAAGGGTTCAAATAGTTGGCACAAGACCCAAATATGGCATTCAACCCAAATAATGATGATAGCAAATAGATTTCAGTCAAACACATGGTAAAATCATCAGTTAGGATGGACCAAGTCAAAATCCCCAATAGTACACGACCCCACGCTCATCATCAAGCGCGTGTCTCACCTCAATATAGCACTACGATGTGCAAATCTGGGGTTTCAAACCCTTAGAACATTATTTACAATCATTACTTACCTCGAACCAGTCAAATATCTAGCTCACGATGTCTTTGCCCCTCGAATCGGCCTCCACTCGGAACGAATCTATCCAATATTAGAACGAGAATGTCAAAATATGCTCTGGGAATGAAACCCAAGCGAAAATAATCAAAGTACGACACAAATCCCGAAATTACCAAAACTCGACCTCGGGGCCCACATCTTGGAATTCAGGAATTTTTACATCAATAGATTCTTCATCTCCCCACGAGTTCATACATATCAAAAGTTCTGAAATCTGACCTCAAATGGTCCTTCAAATCCCCAATTAAAGGCCAAAGTTTCCAAGCCCTAGTTTCCCCAGTTTTCACCCTTAATTTCCAAAATTTCTAGCTCTAATCCATGAAATAATATAATAGGAACGAGTTTTAGGTCTAAATTACTTACCTCAATGAAGCTCCCTTGAAATCCCTCTTTCAAATCGTTCAAAAAGCTCCAAAGCCAAGATAAAAATGGTGAAATTAGCTAAAATTCGAGAAGACCACAATTTTTACTTTTTGCCCAGGCCTTTTTGCACCTGTGACACAATACCTACTTTTGCAGTACCGCATATGAGGCCAAATTACCGCTTCTGCGGTTCTTCACTTAAATGGTCCAATCCGTAACTGCGGTCAACTCTCTGCAGGAGCAGGTGCGGTCATACTACCGCATCTGCGGTTCCTGATGATCCCTCCAAAATCCGCTCCTGCGGCTCCTCTTCCACACGTGTGGCGTTGCACCTATGGTCCCTAATCCACAGGTGCGGAAATACCAGAAGCAGCTAAGATTCTGCAATTTCACAAGTCTCAAACCTTTCCGTTAACCATCCGAAATTACCCCGAGGCCCCCGGGACCTCAACCAAAAGTACAAATATAACCTAATACCTTATTAAAACTTGTACCAATCATCAAAACACCTCAAACAACATCAAATCACACCAAAACACATCGGATTCAAGTCAAACTTTCTAAAATCTTCCGAATTTTGCTTTTGATCAAAAACCCAACCAAACTATGTCCGAATGACTAGAAAATTTGCACACACATCCCAAATGACATAAAGGAACTATTGCAACTCTCAAAATTCCATTTCAACCCCTATATCAAAATCTCTCATACCAACCGGAAATCGCCAAAATATCAATTTCGCCAATTCAAGCCTAAATCTACTCTGAACCTCCAAAACTCATTCTGATTACGCTCCTAAGTCATAAATCACCTCCCAAAGCTAACCGAACCATCAAAACTCACATTCGAGCCTTCTAACACATAAGTCAACATACAGTTGACTTTTTCAACTTAAACTTCCTTAAAAGAGACTAAGTATCTCAAACCTTACCAAAATTATTCCGGATTCGATCCGACCAACCCGATACCACAAAATACGGACAAGGCATAAAGAAGCAAAAATGGGGGAAATGGAGCGGTAACTCATGAGAAGACTGGTCGGGTCGTCACAAAACCCAACCCGGTTAAAACAAAACCAAATCATTAGCCCAAACCTAACCCTTCATACCAAATCCCCTTCACTCTTCGGTCGTATCTTTCATCAAAGAAATCCCATTTTTCAAAAATCCCTCTTTAGTCTTACTAAGTTTTCGAACAAAAGTAAGGCTATTGTCGAAGGTGGATTCAAAATTTGATTTTGTTGGAAGATTGATGTAGTTATCAAGGTTAGTAGATCCAAAAACTTATTTATTTTGGTGGGTGGGGTTTAATACGGTGGATGTAAATTCTGTTCATGTGGGGATTGCTATGCATGTGGAGTTACTTGTTTTTGTCTTTGATTTGGGGTTTGTCTTTCAAATGTTGTGCATGTGGGGTTTAATTTTATGTTTTTGTTGATTTCTATGCTGGTCCCCTCAAAAAATTATCTTTCTAGAGTTTTGTTATTCTTGTATTTTTAATTGCCGAAATGTGTAATTCTGATTTATTTCCTCAATTTTCTATTTTGTTTTCCTTTTGCATGTGAACTTTATTGAAGCATGACTGACACAGTGGACGTGTATTTCAACTATGGGGGAGAATGGGTAATTTCTCTAGAAATATTGTATAATAAGAAGCTAGTCCATATGTGGAATAGGTTTGAACCGGATTTGTTGTCTTATAAAGATTTATGTAAAGAGTTCACAAAAGAGTTAGGGTTTCTTGAAGTGAAGCAATTTTTAGTTGAAGGGTTGTCGGGTAGGTTCTATATAATTGATGGAGATGATGGTATCAGCACATTACAGTCTCTTGTTACAGGTTCTATATATAGGTCAAAATCATAAACTTGTTTGTTGTAGATGAGGTAGAGGCGACTGTCCTTACTCAAAGCATTCTGCATCATACTGAAACATTCCATGTTGATGTTGAAGTAGTATTTGAAAATGAGCATATTATTAGGGATTATGATTTTGATGTTGATGCTTCTTCTGATGTTGAATATGATTTTGAAGGACTTGAGGTTATTATCAAACAAAGGAGGAGGGTAGTAAACGATAGGTTGGAGAACTTTAAGGAGTTGGATAAGGGCATTACATTTAAAGATATTGTGGAAGCTAGATGGGTAGTGAACTATTATGCAATTGCTAATGGGTATGGCTTGAAGATTGAAAAAACAGATCCTACTAGGGCTAGATATATTTGTGATGTTGGATGCCCTTTTAGATGTTATATCTCAAGGGATAAAAAGACAAATGAGATTAGTATCAAAAACATGAAGGCAGAACACAATTGTAGTCCTTGTTATAAAAATCCAAGGGTTGATGCTAAGACATTAGCACAATACTTTAAGAATAAATTACAAAACAATCCCAAGTATACTATTAAGGATATGAGAGGGGAATTAAAGAATGATTTTAAGCTTAATGTGACAAGATCTAATCTTAAAAGGGCTAAGGTGATGATCCTTGAGAAATTAGATGTGAGTTTCAAGGATGAATATAACACGCTTGAAGCCTATGGTCAAGAACTAAGACTATCTAATCCTGGGAGTGATGTTGCAATCAACATATCAAAGGATGCTTTGGAAGAAGGAAAAAAGAGGTTCTTGAGATTGTACATATGTTTCCAAGCTTTGAAGCTAGGCTTCAAAAGTGGACTGAGACCACTTATTGGTTTGGATGGTACTTTCTTGAAGGGAAAATGCAAGGGTCAGCTATTGGTGGCAATGAAACAGAGTTCTATGAATCAGTTCTATCCACTTGCTTGGGCAGTGGTTGACAAGGAAACAAGCAGGACCTGGAGTTGGTTTGTTAAACTTTTGAAGAGGTCTTTGGACCTAAATAATGGGGCTTGAGTGACATTTATATCAGACATGCAAAAGGTACCATTTCTGTTTCAATTCTGTTTTTTTTTTATTTCTGTTTTCAACACTGCTTTTTCTTTAGTTTTTTCTTCTATTTTTTATTTTGTTACAAGTTGTATTTTTGCCCTGTTTCATCTGTTTTCAACACTATTTTCTCTTTAGTTTTTTCTTATATTTTTTCTTATTTTTTTATCTGTTTTCAACACTGCTTTCTTTTTAGTTTTTTCTTCTGTTTTCAACACTACTTTCTCTTTAGTTTTTTCTTCTGTTTTTTATCTCTTTGCAATACTGTTTTTACTTCTATTTTTACTTGTGTTTTTATCTGTTTGCAATACTATTTTTACTTCTGTTTTTTCTTCTGTTCTCATCTGTTTCAACTAGTGTTTTTACTTCTATTCTCATCAGTTTCAACTATGTTTAATTTTCACTTCTGTTTCAATTCTGCCATCACAGGGGTTATTAGATGTTGTGAGCATTGTACTACCTGATGCTCATCACAGGTATTGTGCTAGACACATTGAATCCAACTGGTTAAAAATGGAGGAGTGGAAAAATGAAGAAGTTGATGTGGTGGTGTATTTGGAGTACTTATGAAGAAGAGTTTAAAGATCAGTTATTGAAGCTTGGGGGGATGTCAGAGGATGTTGCAAGGGACTAGATCAGCTATACACCAAAAGTACTGTGTAGAGCATACTTTGATGCACAATATAAAAATCTAATGGTGAATAACAATTTTACTGAGTTCTTTAATGCATGGATTCTAGATGCTAGACATATGCCAATTATCAAGATGTTGGAGAACATATGGATCAAGGTAATGGAAAGGCTTGCAGACTATGAAGGAAAAACTATGAGCTGGAATGACAATTTTAATCCATCATGTATGAAATGATACCATGACTATAGGACAATATCACATGCTTGCACTTTGAACTTTAATGAATACAATGGCTATGAAATCACAGAAGATAAAGACAAACATATAGTGAATCTTGAGAAGAAGAGATGTACTTGTAGGTTATGGGATTTATCGGGAATACCTTGTCCCCATGCTATTAAGGCATTGATGTATAAGAAGATTAAAGCAATGAAACAAATACACTGGTGGTATAGTAAAGAGGCTTACTTGCTAATATACAAGTACAAAATTCAGCCTGTTAGAGGGGTGCAATTCTGGAAAGTATTGCCTAGCCAGGCCATGAAGCCACCTAAAATTGTCAAGCTAGTTGGAAGACCCAAAGTAAAGAGGAATAGGATTGCTGATGAAGCTTTGAAGAGGAAAGGTGAGTGAAATAGTTCAAGGAAGGGAATTATAATGACATGCAGATAGTGTGGTGATGAAAATCATAATGCAAGAGGATGTTACAAGGTAAATATTTATATTTCTTGTATTTTATGAAATAATTATATTTTTTGCAGATTATTTACTAACTATTGTCTTAGGTTGGCAGGGTAGTGGGGTTGGACATAGTTCAAAAAAGGGAAAAGCTGTAGACAATACCCCCACATTGACATCTTCAGAAAATGAAACACAAGACTTTGGTCAAGCAATCTTTGAAACTGAAGTGGGAACATAACAATCAGTATTTAACACTCAAGCTGGAACACAAGAGTTCAGCAGTTATGGACTTGATGTTGGAGATGATGAAGATCCAACAATTAGGCCGATGGTTATATCTGAGGCTGACACAAGACTAGCCATGAGGAAGGTACAGATGAATGCAACTGGTACAAGAAGGATCCAGTTTACTGGAGATGAAACAGGTGCAGCAACACCAATGAACCTGCCTTATTCACCAGCAAGGCTACTTGGAATGGAAAACCAGCAATTACTTCAAGCCAACTTCAGGCAGAAGTTAGAAAAAAAATTACAAAATGAAGGCAAGGAAGGGCCAAGGAGAACAAGCAAATGATTGAAAGCTAGCTTACTGTTTTTGTATTTAGCACTAGCAGCTAGACTGTTTAAAGTACTATTTTTATAATTAGCACTAGCAACTAAACTGTTTAAAGTACTGTTTTTTGTAATTAGCACTAGCAACTAACCTACTATTTTTTGTAATGTTCAGCTAAGCAAAATACTGTGTGAATACAGTTTTTTTAATACAGTTTTTGAAACTGCTGAATATCTAGTTTTTGCAGTTTGGTTTAGCTTCAATTATGTTTATGTACAGTTTTTATGTGTAATTTTTATGTCTAGTTTTTGCAGTTTTGTTTAGCTTCAATTATGTGCAGTTATGCAATTTGAATGTACAATTTTATGTGCATTTTGAATACAGTTTGGTAACAGTCATATGGATCTACCATGACTTCTGTGGATTAGTTTTATTGATCTGATGCATCTAGGTATGCGCATTAGTTTTAGATTGTCTCATCTGCACTTGAGATAAAATACATCTTAGTCGTATATCTGTTTTACCAAGTCTAGCTGATACTAACACACTGCTACCCTGTGTGGTGAACAATTTTAATAAGGTTTGAATACATAGACTATTACATTGTGAGCACGTAATTTTTGCCTCACGAAAATTACTCCAAAATAATTCAAAAAATAATAAAACAATTTTTTGCTTAGTGTGCAATTTTCAGAATTTGTGTGGCGTTTATTAAATATTTGTGTTATGTCCGTAAATGTCTACTTTGTTTGTTAAAATGAAAAATAAAATAAAAACACATGTTGCATGAATAATTAGGATTTAATTATGCATTTAAGAGTTAATTAAAATAAAATCACAAAAAAAATGCATTTATTCTATTTTAAATGTTTCACTGTGTGATTAATGTTTTGTCTATGTGTTAATAGTTGTTAAAAGTAATTAATATTTTGTAAGAGTAATTTTGTTTATATAAATTTTATTAGGATTTTAATAATTAAAGAGTAAAATTGGAAATTGAAAAGAGTTGATTAAAATGTAAAGAAAAACGGACCGGGCCATTTATTTGACAAAACATTCAGGCCCAAAACAATACATTTTACCCAGCCCAAGTCAGTCAACCCGAAGACCATCAAACGACGTAGTATAGGGCAAATACTACGCCGTTTGATGATGCCCGGGCATTTAATTACAAATGCAAACCATACGGCGTCGTATGGTTGCAATAGATCGGGGACGACATTTACTTCTGATCCAAGGGCTCCCAGGATTTTGACCTAACCCGTGATCCCTACCCGATCCAGTACCCGGGCTGACCCATTCCCCAACTAAACCAAAACGACGCCGTTCATGTAAGCATATAGATTCTGGCCATCCATTCTGCCTGATCTAACGGCCAGTATCAATCCACCCCATCCCTATATAAATCCAAATCCCTACCCCGGCCCCCTAACTAAACACCCCCCCTCTTCACTATTCATCATCCTCTCCGAAAGCACACCCCTAATCCTAGCCGCCCTCATTCCCCATCGCCTGAAACCCGGCGGCAACAACGCCGCCGGTCACCACCTTAACACCCCTGAACCCCCTGACCATCCTCTATCCGAATCTGTTAGCCACTGGGCTCGAATCCTCCTGAAGGTTCTCGAATCTTCATTTGAAGATTCGAGCCAAACTCGACCCTTTCCGATGACTTCCAAATTAACACCGTAGCTTCCCCTAACTACCCTAGCTATGGATCTGGTGTTGGTTTGGCTCGAATCACCTCAGAGTTCTTCGAATCTTCTTTTGAAGGTTCGAGCCAAACATGAACTCACTCAGATTCGTTCCAAACTAACACCAAATGACCCCTAGGCATCCCTCACCCTTGTGTCATCTTTGGTTTCTTTCGAATCTGCCCAGAAGTGTTCGAATTTAAAATCAAAGAATCTGAAACCCTAAAAAATTTCCAATCTTGGAATTTTTCCAATTCGAGTGAAGGATTGAGGTCTAAGAGACTTTAATCGAGGTATTCTCAATTGAGAATACTTCGAATAAAATCTGTTCAGCCTCAAAAAGGTCCGAATCCAAGTTGAGTTTGAGTCCGTATGAAATTGAAGATTCGGAGGTATTTTCCTATTTCTTTTGTTCCCTACATATGTTGTTGCCTATTTTAGTTGTCTGTGTAATTTTTCATATTTTTGTTTGTTTAATTCTGTGATTCTGTTTCATACCCGCTTACTTGATCAAAGTGTGAATTGTTTTGTTGGTTATGTTTGTTTACAATGTGTGTAATCGACTCGATTAAGTTCGTCGATTAGTTATATTATAGAATTCTGTTTCTGAAAATGCTGTTTGAAATAATCTGTTTATCGGTTGTTTGTTGACAATTGTTGTAAATAATCAGTTTGACTAATACTCGTTAATTAAATCATCTTTGTTTGCAATTCAATAAGATGCTGTTGATTTCTGAGCATTAAGTTTCAGGCAGTGTCAATATACTGACAATGCCGCTGCACTTATGCTAAATTCAATTTCAATTCATATTTTGTTCTGTTAAGTTCTGTGTATTGTTAATATGTTTGTATACAAGTTCAGTGTTCAATCTGAATTTAGTTTTGTCCATTAGCTATTAGACATTGGGTGTTGGATCAATTAGCTATCATTGAAAAGACAGAA